CAGACAAGGGCAGGTGCTGGCTCATGAGAGAGGCTCAGATACTGAAGATCTCCAAGACCATGCTTCTCCTGAAGCATGGAAACTGCATGTCCTTCTGGTGGCCTCAGAAGCACTCCAGCTCAGCCGTGGCATCAGGACAAGGGCCTGGACTCCTTGCCTTTGAGAGCAGACAGCATCCCAGCACAGACAAACGGGGGGCTGGTGGCATTCCCGTATGTGTTCGTCCCTCATGCGTGCAAAATCTGCAGCAGGAGGTCAGGGAATCCTGCAGCCCACCCACAGACTGCAGCTTTCCAAAGGAATCCTGACCCACTCCGAGGAGATCCCAGAGCATCCTGCTGTCACCATCTCCGGCAATCACTTGTGCCCTTTTCAGGAATAATTTCACTCAAAGCTGATTTTCTGAAGCGCAGACCATTCCCAGCTCCTTCCCTTGGCAGAGGTGCTCGGCTCCTCGGGAACATCGGTCCTCTGGTCTGACATCCTGGCAAGGAGGGCAGGCAGCAATCTGGCTCCAGACCTTTTTCAATCCGGATGGGCCAGGATTGACCCGTGAGGACCGAGAGCAGTGAAGAAAGGCCCTGGGTGTGGGGCAGACCTGGCAATGGGTGGTCAAGCTTTCCCCAGGCAGCTTCCTCCCATTTCACTGCTGGGGATGGTCCCATCACCGCTGCTTCCCATGTCTCTACCGTTGGGACCACTACCTTCTCACTTCTGGTAGTGACCGTGACCCAGTCTTGTCCAGGGTCGGGGTACTGCAGGCAGAACAAGAGGAACGATCCACTAAATCTAAGTTTTCCAAGTGGTCCCTAAAGTGTGGGCCAGTTGCTTCAACCAACAGGTAAAACATGGAGAGAGAGGGGGGACTTAAACGCACAACAGGGAGCGACAGTCAGTGCTTAGAAAAGTAAAGCGCGGAACAGCGAGAGGTACCAAAGGGAGCTTCTAACAGCACAAGTCTGAGCTCCTCCAGCGGGACAGAAAAGCTGAGAGGTGCACATGGCCTCGGGAGATACCTCTTGCTCCTCAGGAGATACCTACTGCTCCTCAGGAGCACTGGGAAAGCTGTCGAGACTGCCGGAGCCCGCACGACCGGGAAGCACGAGTCCCGTTGCCCGTAGGACAGGGGTTGGCGAGGAGTCCATGGGGCTGGGGGCTGCTGCCCCCCAACTGACCCTGCCCACCGCTGCTTCCGGGCAGAAGCCTCGCACGTTTG